GGCGACCGCATGACCTCCTCCTTGTTCGACGGTCACTGCGCTCATCAGAATAAACAGCTTATGACAGCTACGAGACACCCGTTCCAGGAGCAGGCGCCTGTGGCAACAGACACACAATCAATCATTATCAATGTGTTGCTTTTACGACAGTCTGCTCGCTTCGCAAGCGCAGTACTCCAAGCATGAGTTGTTGGACCACTACAGAGATGATGTGTGGGCGAAGGTGGAAAGTAAGTTGACGGGTCGCCAAACGGCAGACCTAGAAGCGGATATCTCTTCCATGCAGTGGGTGAAAGATTCGGTTATATCTCTTTCACCTCATAAGATGCCAGGTGCTGAGGTCTCCCGTCGTCGATACTTTTTCAAAGATTCAGCCCTCAATTTTTGCCTGAGCTGCTAAAGATTTGTAGGTCAACATGGGGGGCAAGGGCGCCGCTGTCGTCGGATGCGCTGAAAGGGATCATTGCCTTTAATATACCCAAGAGAGGAGATCTGACGGATGCGCGTAATTACCGCCCGACAACTTTGATGCCGGTTCTATACAAGATTTTTAGCGAAATCCTGGCAGCCAGACTGCAGGTGACATTGCCATCATTGATACATCCGACTCAGAATGGTTTTCTACCAGACAGACAAATTCTTCATAATGTTATGACGGTACTACAACTCGTGCAATTCCTATCGGAGGACGAGGATCAGATGGCAGTGATCCTACTCGATCTTGAGAAAGCTTATGATCGAGTGCGCTGGGAGTTTCTTGGGGCTGCGATGTCGATGTTCGGATTCGGCCCGAAGCTAAAAAATGTGGTTGTGGCATTGCTAGTTAATGCTAAGTCTAGAGTGTTGGTCAACGGTTCGTTGTTCCACCCAATCTCCTTGTCTAGATCTGTTCGTCAGGGGTGCCCGGCGCCCCCCTATTTGTATATAATCTATGTAGAGATCTTGCATGTATTGGTTATGACTAATTCACATATTCCTGGATTCCTCCCGCCTTCGGGACACACACTTAAATCTGAGGCCTTTGCCAATGATTCTGTGGATGTGACTCCCGTGACTGATCAAGCACTTCAAGCATTTAAGCAAACAGTGGAGGTGTTTTGTCAAATTTCCCGGGCAACGGTCAAGGGGTCTAAGTCATCGGTATTGATCTCGCCGGGGTTCCCTCCCTCGGATTGGGGATTGAGGGTGGTAGTGCCCGCCCAACACAGGTTGTTGGGACACAAAATTTCTTCCACCCGACAACTTAATATGACGGACTCGACCCAAACAAGAGGGTCGGAGCTTACTGAACAACGCGCGTTTAGGGCATCAGGCCCCGCCGTGCACGCACGGCCTCGAACCGGCACCCTCAGCCTCATGAACGAAGTCTCGTAAACACTACAACCCTTGGAGGTGTTATAAAAACTGGATCCATTCTGGTCGTGATATCCAGCCCACCTCCAGGGCTGTAGCGTCCTTGAACTCACCCCACACCACACACACACAACACCACACCATGGACACGGCAATCAACACACTCCGCTCAGACAACACGCAGTCCCACCACCGC